CCACTTCTTCTCGACCTTGCGGGCGCAAACCGCCAACGAGCCCTGTTTGCTGCACGAGTTTGCTGCATGCCCATGCGTGTCTGCGCCAGTGTGTCCGGCCTTAGTTGGCTCGCCATGCCATCCATACTCCGTGAGCCGAAGCAAGAGATATGCCGAAGGTTCCGTGAAGGAGCACAGACAGAATTCTGTGATGATGGACGAAGTCATACAATGGATCCAAGTTCACAAAGCCAAAGACATAGTAGTTCGAAGAATACGAACAGCAAAAAGCACGAGAGGTATTTGGCCAGTAGCGCCCCTGGCAAATGTGGGATCATGATATTACAGCAGGAAACCTCATGATACCTAGCCAACTAAGGGTGAACATACGGAGGTATCCCGACTGCAATTACAGAAATCCAAGACATAACTTCATGTCCGTTCCAGGACTGCCCGATGGTCCTTGTCCGGTCTTCCCCTTGCATCAGCCTCGGCAGCCAAACAAACTATGGATACGTCAGCTGCAGCTCCGCGGGAAGCTGCTGCCCGGCAAGCACATACACTGATGCGCACCAGCTTTTTGCATCAAAAATCCGCCATCCTTGCTGCACGTGCCCCCCCTTCAAAAACCATAAGCATCAAGCTTGCGACTTGAGCAAAAGCTTTGCCTGAAGAACTGCTCAACAGTGATTGGCACCCTTTGGGCAAGGTCACGCATCATTTCGGGGTCTGCTGTCATGCGATGTGGCAGGAGACCATTGTCCAAGTCTCCCTGCGTCAAGACGCCGTTCTCTTCGATGATCTGTAGCGCATCTTGGCTCAGGTGGTCCTGGATGCAGGAAAATGTTAATTCACGCCGTTTTTTGTTGCAGTCAAGCGCAGAGTTCCTGGAATTTGTGACTTAGACTTCATGGACAAAATCGAGAGTGGTGCCATCCCGCCGCGTCTACTGACGGAACCGCTCTTTGCTTAGCAGGTCTCCTGCAACTGAAACTTGGCGGCTTGTTCTTTCTGTGTTCTCCTTCATACTTTCTTCAAGAAAAATCCTACCTTGTCAGTTGGTTTCACAGTGAGCGTGGCCATGCCTGAGAATGGCTTGTGCGCATGCTCTTTGCCAATGACCCCAGGACAATAACAAATTCAGTTACACCCCATAATATTAAACAAACAACTCTGCTACTTATGGTGTCTGTTGAAATCTAGCTTGCCCCTTCCTATGCTTCGAACCCATCCTCCGGGATCAACTGTATGTTGTCCAGAAGCCACTTACGCACTGTGACAGCGAAATGGATGTCCTTCCTCTGGTCGGAAAGTTCCAAATCGCGCCACGGCAACAGCTGCGCCCCCGGGGCATTTGGGTTCAGTGTCATCCACTCGTCGTGGACAGCGGCCGCTGTAGCAAAGTCGGACCGCCCACTAAGAATCATGTCGAGTGCTGTTGCGACGCCGTGGAAAGAGGCGTCATAAAAGAACGACGGCTGCTCACGTGCTGTGTGGCAAGCCAGCAGGTCAATGCTACCAGGAGTCCCTGGTGTGCATGTGACCCACCTTCCGTCCGCGTTCTGCACCTTGACCTTTGAAACATCCCCGCTGCGGCGGCACTCCGCTTTCCACAGCTGGAATTGTGACTCAATGCATGCGTGAATGCAAGGAAGGAGCCAATTCATTACCATGGCTTTAGGCTGGAGAGTTCTGAAACCCTTGCTACTTATGCTGCTCGCGGGCCAAAGGATCCAGCACAAAGTCATGGACCAGCAGCAAATGACATGTCGACCTCCTGTGGGACATCCTGATGCAGCATGCGCAGCCTGAGGCAACTACCTGGAGCTGCCATAGGCGCAACAGCAAAGCTTCCTGCTGGGTGGTTGTCAAAATTATGGTCCCTTTTTGGGTCCTTAGTATAATACGGCACCTAATATTTAGGGTACCCCAAAAAGGGACCAGAATTTTGACAACTACCCTGCTGGCACTGCAGCACACTAAGCTGGACGGCCCCCTGGCAATGCTTCAAACAGAAAGCCTCCGTGGCAAAAGCCCTCGGCGACCTTGCAATGAAATGGTGATGCTTGTCTTGCTGTGGCACTGTCCTTCGAGGGGTGCTCACGTAAGGCTTGGGACTGAGGTTCATGCTTCAAAGCTCAAGTCTAGAACTGAGGAACTCAAGGAATTAGGGTTTGGGATGTACGTTTTAAGGCTTAGGGTTGCTTTTGGGCAGCGGGCTAAGGGCTTGGGGTTCGGCAGCAATCAGTATTCCACAGCAGTTGCCACTTCATAACTGAAAATAGACTGTTGGTTTGTTTTTCTGTTGGTGTTACTGATCTTTTGGTCTGAGGCATAGGATATAGGGGTCGTGGAGTGCTATTTGAACTCTGCGCGGTGAGCAATGAAAGTCTATGTCTATGTCACTTGAGGTGGTGGGAAGACTTCTGCGAGAAGGGCATCGTCTCCTGGCTACTACTTCCCCGCATTCCGCTCAACATGCTGTTGTTCTGCCAAGTGCGGCGTCCAAGGCACGCTTGCCCAGTAATGGTGCAGCGCTCAACTCCAACCACTCCTGGTCAAAATCCGCACGAACCTTCGCAGGCCAAGCGAACTCCAGCACAGCCAAAGCGCACCAGGAAGCCCACCAAGGACGCCAAGCGAGCGTTTAACGCGGCGATCCACGAGGCAATGGCGGACACGTACCCCCCACAGAACGGCGCGGCGACAGCAGCACAGTCGCCACAGCACGAGCAGCCAGACACACCCTCCTCACAGCCAGACCCACCAGAGCAGGCACGCCTGGACGCGAAGTGGAGGACGCTACACGCCGCAGTCACGGAAGCAGTCGCGGAGACACATCCCACAGGAGCCCACCCGATAAGCTCTCCAAAGGGTCGGGGGGTGCCGACGGCTGGCATGCTGCTGAACTTAGGCACGGCGCAGTGTCGCGGGAGTGGCGCGGTCGTACGGAATGTTGCTTTCCTACCGGGCATCTTCTCCCTTTTCCAAAATAAACATACAAGAGAGATAGACTTGACTTGAGAGAAGTGAAAGCTCCAGTTCCTTGCAGGTCTTTCGTTTGATCGCGTAAAAAATTTAAAAGGATCAGCTGGAGGTTGCGCTCTTTCCTCATATGGAGAAGGCTTTATGGGTCTAACTCAGACACACTTGTTTTAAATGTCGAAGCTCTTTATTTTTTCGCAATGCACTTTGAATAAGGGCCTGTGTAGAATCAAGCCCGTGTTCTGCGGATAAGAGATATCTTGGCTCTTCTAAGAGCATGTAAGAGCAGCCCTATTGATACTGTTCGCAGGCCCTCGAAATCGACCAGTTCGACAACGATGCTCTAGCACACACTGCTTATGCTCTATGACGACAAGCAGGTATGATATGATATGAAAACACAACGAGGTCTAGGTCTAGTAAGCCTACATGGGATAAGACGAGAAAGCTCGAAAAAATACTACAACAACAACTACTACTACTACTACTATTACTACTACTACTACTACTACTACTACTACTACTACTACCACTACCACCACTACCACTACCACTACCACTACCACTACCACTACCACTACTACCACTACTACCACTACTACCACTACTACGACGACTACTACTACTACTACTACTACTACCACTACCACTACCACTACCACTACCACTACCACTACCACTACCACTACCACTACCACTGCCGCTACTACTACTACTACTACTACTACTACCACTACCACTACCACTACCACTACCACTACCACTACCACTACCACTGCCGCTACTACTACTACTACTACTACTACTACTACTACTACTACTACTACTACTACTACTCCTCTACTACTACTACTACTACTACTACTACTACTACTACTACTACTACTACTACTACTACTACTCCTACGGCAACGGATGGATATACAAGATACGTTCAACGACATGGCTTGCACTCTACAGGAACAGACTGATTTCCAGACTCAACCTGTTCTCATGCCTTGAACGGGCTTCGACACAGATTAATTTGCTGTAGTATTCCCATTACGGGTAATACCACTCAGCCCACATGTGGTTAACCCGAAGGTTACCCGTGTGGTGCCTGCAAAACTACTCAACCACTCTTGATCCATACTCGTAGTATAGCCTGCTTGCGGTGTCTGTAGACTAAAGCTTAGCTCTGCTGATTCTATACACTCCTTCTGCGATGAGCTTAAGAATAAAATCTGGCTTCATCTGGCTTCATCGACTTGGTGAAACAATCCGCAGCCTGAGTGGATGCATCTATCCAGTCCACTCGGTCTCCACCTCTCGGGTAGACCTCACAGGTCCTCTCGCCGTCTTCGGTGAAGATAGACTGAGGTAGCGGGTTTAGTTCTATCTGTAGACGCTTATCTTGAACCCGGCCTCGGCCTTCAGACGGTCTAGCAGACTTCGGCAATCGGTGAGCGAGATGTGTGGTACCTTCGCTCTTGCCAGATCTTCCCAACCGTTTCCACGGGATCCGTAGCCATAGATTTCGGCTACGGCTCGAATTCGGTTCGCGGATTTCACAGGTACATGTGAAACCTAAAGTGCTCTGGGCAAACAGGCTAAGGAGAAGGGGGTTCTTAGCATCAGTGTCGATCTCTTGGGAATTTAGTACTCCTCCTCAGGTAGTACTATCCTTGGAGATGCTACAGGGAAGCCTCCTTCTACCTAGTGTTCCTGAGGTTGACCCTAGACCCGCAAAGGACTTGGTTCTAGAGTCTGCCCAGAGGAAACTCAGGCCTAAAGCCTTGAGTCTAGCTTCAGCTAAGTGGGCCCAGCTAGTGCTATGACATGTTGAGTTACAGCCCTCATCGAGGGCCCCCCATACATGACACTCTTTGGGGTCCCACATGTTGACTAGAGGAAGGTCATCTATGGGTACTACACTAGGTAATATAGAACCCGCTGCTGCGTAGTTCTTGGGGAATGCCTTAGGTGTGTTGCCACTACCTAAGCCTAAACCCCTATTCCACCTAGTAACCCTAGATGCCCCTGATCCCTTCCCGGAGTCACGGGTCCTCGGCGCCACCGGTCCCGAAGGTACCGTTGGTATCGTCGCCGGCGCGGTCGACGATGAAGCCGTCTCCTGTGGCGCAGGCGGCTTAGCTTTGGGCTTAAACCACCTATTGGGCCGGTTCACGAGGAATTGTCCGGGCTCAGGATCCCTCGGTGCATGGAGAAACGCGTTCCGAAAATCAATCCCTGGCCCCTTCCCTAAACCAGCCTTATAGGGATTAGAGATGGGGTTAGGGTTTTGATTTTTCCCGTTTGCGGTTGGTGGCCCGTCCGGGTCCACCTGTTGGAGCTGAGCACCAGCTTCCAATGCCGCGTTTGCGCGAGCTACGTTCTCACGGTGTTTCGCCATGGCTTCGTTGAGGATAGCCTGGCGCTCGTCCCAGGCGCTTGCCGCGGCTTCGCGGTTCATCCGCTCGATGTCCTCGTCGGTCCATCATACATGTACGATCCGCTCCGAGTCTCCAGTGGAGTACTCGGTGCTCCGGTTGTCCGGCTATATTTCAGTCCGGCCACGGACACTGCCACAAAGGTCAATGAATGAAAGGAAAAAGGCGCAAAGGAACGGGTCGATGTTGTATGGGCTCGCCCGGGCCCCGAATCTACGAAAGCTACTTGTGGCCCGCTCGGCTGGTCCCGAGGGGCACCAGCTCCGCTACCAGTGTGAATGAAATCACTACTGGCGCCGACTTTTCACCTGACTGCGTCTACCGGTATAGCTCAAGGGCCCTACGGCAACGGATGGATATACAAGATACTTTCAAGGACATGGCTTGCACCATACAGGAACAGACTGATTTCCAGACACTATATATATATATATATATATATATATATATTATATATATATATATATATATCATGTCGGTTGACGTCTTGACTGGGTCCCAGTCAGAGGAACAGAAATGCCCTTGCAAACGCCCAAGCCGTGCCTGGTGCCCTTCCTCCTCAAATCCCGTGTCCTCTCAACACAGAGTGCCAAGAAACGCTCCAATTAGTGCTTCGTGTACGTAGAGTTTTTCTGGCTCGAGACCCGTGCTCTTTTCAGAACGCGTTCCGGCCTCTGAGAGACATGCAGCCAAGGCTTCAAGCTCAGCGTCAAGCTCAGGCCAGGCACCCGACAGCACAGCCTGCAATGCTCCCTTAAGGCTCTCATGAGACCAGGAAACACTCTACATGTGAGTTTAAAGTGATACCGGAGCAAGGCATCGCATCCCAAAGCACCGCACAGACTGCGGCACCTTCTCCACACGCAGCTCACACAGCAGGGCTGCAACCCAGCCAGACAGGCACGGTGGAGCTTCTCCATGGCGGGTCGAAAGCATCCGACGTACCTGCGCTTCAATTCAACATTTCCGGCCGGATCCGCTGGACGGCCGTGCGCTTTCGGCCATCTGTGGGCACGTCATGCTCGAAATTTGGGATTGGCACCGAGGTCCTTGGCACATTGTCGTCCCTCCGACCCAGGTGCACATCACGACAGGGCAGGCGCTCACAGCAAAGCCGGCTGGAGAGCCATGAGCCGCGTGAGCCTGAGGATGCCTCACAGCCTGAGCCAGGGGCGCCCGGTCTGTGTGAGCCAGAAATTCCTCGAAGCGCTCGCAGAGTAAGTACCTCAAGGCTCGGAGGCTCGAGTTCTATCAATGAGCGGTTGGCCCTGGAGTGCTGAGGCTTCCGCGAAGAAGACAGCCTGTGCCGAAGTGAGGCAAGACAGTCCCTTGCTTCGCACAACACCAAAAGGGCCTGCTGTTGGAAGAGCAAGGCCCTGACAAAGAAGAGGGCAAGGAAGGCCCTTGCGGCCCTGGCCTTGGCACAGTGTTTGGATTGCGGACGATAGGCTTCAAGCACCACAAAACGGGGTGACGTGGCATTGTAGCGTGTGTTCACAGGCAGGGAAGTCGAAGACTTCTCAAGAGCATGGGTGAACTCCCAACATACGCCCTCGACTTGTTCGGAGAATTGCAAAGTTCCTGTAGGCAGCAGGCCGCGGCGCTTGCAAGGTGCGCTCCGCCTTTCAGGAAGCATTGAGGCAGGAATTCGCACATCTCTCACGTGGAATTACTACTGTCACATCCTGACATGTCCATTCACATCCACACGCTGGAAATGCTAGAAGTTTCACTAGGCAGCATGAGTCGGAATCTTGCAGTTCAGATCCAGGCCGTGTAAGGAAGAAGGGTTTCTGCACTTCTGAACGTGACGAGCCATGGTTCGAAAGACGGCAAAAATTGAAGCATACATCAGATGTGGTCCGAATGGGGGCGGGCCGACCTTACTGCATGTGGAAATCAACATCAAGGTACTCGGATGCCAGCTTAGTGCTAACAACCACCATAATCGGCAATCGGCTGAGTGTGCAATTGCACTGAAGCGGTGCTGGGGGCTGACGACTGACGACAACGACAAAACGGCCAGTGGCACCACCGCTGCTGTTGCTTCTGTGGTTGCTGGCTTTGGAGCAACAGCCGCGGCAAACGGCCATCCGAGGTCAGAAGTTTCAGGTCGATTCTGATTTATGGCTCGACAATAGCCTAGCAGAATGCAGCTCCATCCAGTGGTCCGTGCCTTTGGGTCCTGGTATTGTGCACGCTGTCAGTTCGGCACTCAGCTGATTCCAGAGCGGAGTCCCGAAAGCTAACAGGCTTTTATGAGTAATCCCAGGGTCGCAATAATAGGCGGGGGGCCCCCCCCGCCCCCCACGGGTCCAGGGATTAGGGCGGTCACAATAATGGACAGTGGGGGGTCGCATTAATAGAATGATTGGGGGATTGGGGGGCGGGCTGTGAAGAGAAGAGCTGATGCAGTGATTTGGCTCTTGTGGTGGCACAACATGCAGACAGTGACAGCATGGAGCAAAGAGCAGTGCAGCTGGTGCAGAAAGTAGTTAGCTGTCGCCGCATGAAGAGGGAGATTCTTTTACTACTTTACTGCCAAACCTAGGCTTTCCGGAAACGTTTCTTTAAATGTGAACCCTTTTTAGAGGTCGCAAAGCCTACAAACGCCTACGCAATGGAAACTCCTCTTCCGGACCCTACAGGCCCCCAAAAAGTTTCTTTAAATGTGACCCATTTAATATTGCGACCCTGGGATTAGCTGGCTGTCATGCTGGAATCCTGAACTCGATTTCTGGACCGAACCATGCTTTCGTCATTGCCCGGAAGCTGCAAAGTACGGACCGCAAACGACCGGCATCACGTGCGTAGTCGCGATGCCCAGAAGCCCCAAACTCCAATGCATTGCTTCTTCGCTTTCATTAAGCCGTGCGCAAGCAGCGTTTTTAGAATCTGCCAATCATCTCAGGCCTACACTGTCTTATAACCCAAGCTAATCCTGGAGCATGAGCGAAGTGGGTGCGGGATGTACCCACGGTTTGCATCCTGCAAGCTAGCGGATGGCAGGGGCGTCTATTCTATTCTCCAAGTACTGGGCCTTCAACCCCGGAGAAATGCCTGACTTACCTATCCTGTTGGAACTTCACTATGGAGGGTTGTGCAAACCTGCTGCATTGACCTCGAACACTTTCGGCACAGACCCTATGGAATATGGGGGGTGCATCATAGATTGGGTGTTCGGCGTTCGAGTTGCCAAGGTAACTGGCACACAAAGCCCAACAAGCCCGACGACGTCTGGAACACCCGACCTTTCCTGTAAAACTGTCAGAATCTCAACAGCGCTGCGTGCCTTCATTCGACCACAACCTCGTGTTCACCAGCACACCTCAGTGGTGTCTCATGGTGTCACGGCAAGTGTACAACAGTCATTTTCAGTTAGCCCGCGGCACAGCAGCCGAACTAATCCCAATCTCATGGCGCCAAAACACTGCCACAAAAAGTAGTCAAGGGTCGCCAGGCCCTTAGGAGTTCCAAAATTGAAAGTGAAACTTGTCATGTCGTTTTCATCATGGGGTCAACTTGCAGTCTCTCGAAGCCGAGCTTCAATTCTGCACATCTACGGTGCCTCTTGCCCCATGCGATTCCGCACGAGCTAAGCATAAATCCATCATGCTGGCAAACAATCGATCTCGCAGTAGACCGGCCCCCAAGCACACATGATCTGAACTTCGTCAAACGGGCTGCGGTCCACCGAACCACCGGAGCGTTTTGTCCGCTCGCGCACGTCTTCAGGAAGCTATGTCCGATGCGCTCTGCTTACATGCCATTTTTTGGCGATACCGGCACCGACTGCCGACTGCCTGTTCAGAGCCCAGTCTAGTGGCGCAGCTACACCTTCTTGTTGTCTGCCTCGTGCAGGCGACACGCAAGGCCCAAGGCCCGTGACACAGGAGTTCCTGGCAGCTTCGCCCCCTGAGGATCGGTCAATTTTTCTTGCGGCCTGGCCCGGAACTGCAATCTCCAAACTGGTCCACTATATAACATCATTTAATTATAAATGTATATATTTGACAACTATTTACAGACTCCAATCGAGGTTTCTTGATGCCTTCATGAAATCTTCCTCGACGACATAGTCCCTCTCGGCGCGGATCGCAAACATTCTGGCCTGAACTGGGCGCTCGCAAGACCCAAGACCCCCTGCTCACGTCCGCCAGGCAGCCGGCCTCAGTGCAAATGTTGCGCATGTCCGCGTTGTTGAAGTTGTCCGTCTGTTTGCAAATGGCTTCGTAGTCGATATCCCCGTGCTTTGTGATGGGGTTGGCGTGGATCTTGAGCACCTGGCGATCCCGCAACCCGAGCTGTGCAGAGATGACTCCTGGACCTCGCGCCTCGATCCTGGTTTGCTCGTTCGGCAGCGGAATCTCGATCTGGCACAAAAGCGCCAAACCACCAACTGCCGATGCTACTTCATGCTTCGGAACGGAGAAGTACGGCTGGTGAAGAAGTACTGGGCCCTTCCTGTTAGCTGACCAGTCCTTCCGGTCCAAGCGCCCTGGCCGAAGCAGTGCAGGGTCCAGGGTATCAGGCCGATTTGTGGCCTCAGCATGACTTCACCCAGGGCAGTTCGGCAGGAGCAGCCGAGTGCTTCCAGTTCGGAGATCCTTGCACATCCGAAGATCTGTAGCCGAGAATCCTTCAAAGGCTCAGGCCAATGATGATCTTCACGCGGCCCAAATCGTCGAAACCATGATTCAGCAACTCCTCAGCACCGAAACCCAAGCGGCAGCAGCTGAAAAAGAAGGGCAGCTCGGCTGAGTTGTCATCCATCTGGGGCCGGCACCATCAAAGTCCGCTGGATCTCTCTGTCAGCCGACGTGCCTTGAGAGAAACGCTTCCCGCCGATGGCATCAATCCTCAGGGTGTAAAGAAGTAAAGATTCGAAAAGGCAGCCTTCACTGCGTAGTCTGCATGCTGTCAGGGGACTCATCCATGATAATGATACAGGGCTGATGCTCTTTTGCATAGCCAAACATCTCACGGATGATTCGGGCAGACTCTCCGATGTACTTGTCCACGATTGCAGATGCTACAACCTGATGCAGAGTTTCTACTTTCGACCTGCTTGGGAAGGATGGGAACCACTGACAAAGGCTGGCCTTGATGAAACTGGCCATCATGTTGTGCGCCATGGCCCGTGCCAGAAGCGTCTTTCCGGTTCCGGGCGGGCCATAGACCAGCCCTTCGGAGACTTGATGCCCACCTCAAAAGAGCGACATGCCAGCAAGTTCCTTGCACGAGGCTGTGGTGGGGAAAAGTGCATGTTGGACACACGCTTGAAGAGCTCCGGGTTCGTCAACGGCAGCTCGATGACCTAGTCTCCGCAGGACTGTAACTATTTCGCCCTCACTTTGCAACATGCTGTCAAACTGTAGACTGTTTGTCGTATGGATCCATATGCGTGGGCAGCAGCTCATTCGTACATAGACGTCTGGATGGATGCCTGAATATATGCGTGTGTGCATGCGCGTCTGTTACTATGACAGCTGATACTGTTGCTCCTAGTTATCCTAGTCAATTCCGCCAGGATCGCCGTCGTCAGTGCTATAAACTTTGCCATGGTCGCCCACACCACCGCCATCATCATCGTCACTGGTACAATGGCATGAGACTGCGCAGAGCGGGCATCTGGTGCTTCAGAGGTATGAAAATGCAATTCCGCTGGGTGGCCTCTCGCATCTGCCTGCAACAAAGCCCGAGAGGCACAAAAAGCCCCTTCTTCGTGCAGACTTCGAGCGTTGCCTAATCTGCTCAGTGGGGCCACCGACATCGCTGTAGGAGATTTTCCAAGGGTCCTCTGCAGAAGTGCGCTTCGCGCAAGATGCGCAAGAGCCCTCCAACACAGCCGCAGTTGAAAGCTAGCCTCATGCAGCATGCTGAAGACTATCGGGTCGACTTCTCTCGGAAGCAAGCGCATGATCGTCAGAGTGGTCATGTCCAGGGAGACGCGGCTGCGTCGTGTCGAGGGCGTCCAGCTGTCGCAAGACCTTTCCAGGGAAGAACTGAGCACCGGCATCGCACCGAGTCTGTAATAACCACCTCGCCGATGATCTGCCCAACGCTCTGCAAGGCTTTCAGGTGGTCCTGCGACAAGCGCATGCCGCCCAGTCGCAGGTGCGCATGTGCTCACACAAATACGTACTTTAAAGCTCTTCTAGCAGTTCCTCGGACTTGTCGTAGTCCACGCTGTTCTTCTTCACTGTGTCCCGAAGCTTCTTCACACGTGACTCGAATTCACGGTGCTCCTGCACCTTCCACATAGCGCTTCAGCGCCTGCAGCAGACACAATGCGCAACCTCTTGAGCAAGTGAAGCCACAGGAAACAAACAAGAGTTTCCTAGGCTATTGCAACTTGCAGCGATCAATTAGCGCACTCTAAGTGCAGACTTCTTTACTCAAACATTCCACTCTCAGCGCCTGGTCTTGCAAGCCATTTGAGCCAAAGGATCGGCCACACACGGAATGAATGAAGGGACAACCACAAGACAAGGGCATCCCACGCGAGAGCGCAGCATCTTTTTGTGTTCGATCCCGGTGCCCGCCCTGTACAAGCCAGCGAAGACACGCTGCCGGCGAAGGCACGATGCTGGGGCAGAGTTGGCCGTCTCGACCAACATCAATTCAATGAGACAAAGAGCTAAGGCTACTGTAAGACTGTAAGACAGCTTAAAGTCAGAGAGCGGCGGCACGTAACTCTTGTCGTCGCCACTTAGCCTTCTTTTGCAGCTGCTTCCATTGACTTGATGTTCTCGCGTGGGCGCGTCTGGCTATCGAAGATCTTGTTGACGCGAGTGCTGTCCAAGGTCTGCTTGCGCTGGATCTCCTAGATCTCTGCATCCTGGCGCAGGAGCTCGCGTGTCTGGGCCCTGAGCTGCCAAGCCGCACAACCCAGAAAAAACTCATCGTGCTAGCCTGGTAGCAGCTTCCCGGGACGACACCAAAGACACAGAGACCTGAAAAAGACGCAGCGCGGGCCAAGGCTCAAGATCTCCCTCACCTCCGTGGCAAAGCCATCCGGGTCCTCACAGGGCTCCTTGAGCGCAATTCTCAGAAAAGGCACTGAAAAAATGCGTCTCGGCCCAAGGTTAGTCCAGAGCCCAGGGGACATCCCGCTGCTCCCAGCCCAGGAGCTGCTCCTCGGAGACTTGCCGTGGCTGGACCAGGACCTGAAGCAGCCAAAAGAGCTGATGGCGATGGAAAAGAAACAAAAGTTATGATGGCAAACTGCTGACGTGGCGATGATATTCGGTAATTCCCAGATTGCAGAGCCATAATACATGCGACTGCCAGTGACATCGCGAGTGTCTCAAACACAAGCACCAGAAGCACCTATGCTACAAGTACGTGCACTTAGCACGTGGTAAGCTGGTAAACTTCGACGAAGTGCCTGAAGCATTGAGGCGAGGCGGAGTTGTCCCAGGCTCCGCTTCAGAGCCCTGAAGCACTCGCCACTGAGGACCCCGTCGTCCTGGAGACGCCGGGCACGCGTCGTCAGGAACCTCAGCAAGGAGTGTTCCTCATGCTACCGGATGCTAGAAGCGACTTGTACCACCGAGCAGCTTGGAGATGCTCGGTGCCGTCACGGGAAGTCTCTCTTCGTAGTTGGCCTCCTCGGCTACCTCGCAAGGAAACCAATCAAAAACACGGTCTGAGTCTCCGCACTCCTCGTCCAAGTTGTGCCTCCAAGATTAAAAGCTCTGGTTCGGGATTCACGGAGAGGCAGAAGCGTGCCCAGCCCGTCGTCTGCTTCACACGATGCTCTGTAGAAGTTATCGAGAAGTTTCCGCATTCCGTGCGAGCTGTGTGCTCGATGTAATGGCAGGGGGCGCTCCGACTCCCGTTGTTCTTGATGCTGTACACAGTGGTCACACGGTTGCGATGATCTAGGACAACCTTGCTGAGCTGCCCGTGCTCGTCTTGTTCGACTCGTGTCCGCACCACACGGTCGTCCTGCATTTCCGCGGGCTTCAGGCACGTCACGGAGAGGGTCGTGTCCTTCACGGTGCCAGGCGAATTATGAAATCCGCTCCTGTAAGCCAAAGCAGCTAATCACGCTCCTCTCCGCCGGGCACCACGTGGTACCCATGCCGATCCCAAATATCCCGTCTGACCAGGGTCATGAAATCCAAGCGCGTGCGAGCCTGATGAACATCTTCTCCTGGCAGCGGCCATCCTAACCGTAGTGCCAGCGGGTCCTGAGGGACGGCTGGCCGCATCGCCTCAAAGTGGCTGCACTCCCAGAGCACATGGTGCCAAGTTGGCACCTGCCGTTGACCACAGCGCGAGCAAGTCAAAGGTGCAGCGCCGCACTTCATGACGCCGTAGACGGCCTCACTCAAAGCACCACCGTGCATCCCTCGCATCGGCAGTCGAGGAGTGATAAAGCTGCATCGTGGCCTTCACCCTGGCCTCGTCGTAGACAGCCACCGGAGCCAGGGCTCTAGAATCACGCCTGTCAGCGTCGAGAAAGGTCTGGAAGAGTCGTCGTCGCCAAGCTTCACGAAGGAGGTGGAGCGTCTTGCCCAGCTGCGGTCGGGCACGCGGCCCCTGAAGCATGAGCACACCCAAGTCTGGCCGCTGCCACTGTCCAGGTACGACCTGCGCAAAATCAAGCCCTTGCACAAAACGTTCTACACGACGCTGCCAGCGCCCTGAAAGCAGTTGAAGTCCTTGCTGCTCCCAGAAGCCCTGAGCCCGGCAAAAAGCGTCTGTGGCCATCAAAGATGCCGAGAACGATTCTAATCACCAATCGCACTGCTTGCTATGCACGTGCTCTGGCTATCTGCCATGCAGCACAAGGCTCTTTCGGTGCGCATGCTTGCGCGTGCGCAACAACACCAAAATCTGGCAAGTCAGTCGGTTTTGCATTCTGTGCCCGGGCCGCGGCCAAACAGCACGACCTGAACAAACATTTCAACTTTGGCCGTCTTCATGGATCCTATCCAATCTATTTACGCTTACCGAACTTTGCTTTTTACAAGCAACTATAAGGCACTTCTTTGATCTTTGGTTTCCATCGCCACACACACACAAGCTTGACCCGCTTGATTGAACGAACATCTTGATTGCGCTCCTTTAGCGCGTTTGAATGTCCCTGGACACTAATCACATTCTACTCACTAATCGCACTGCTTGCTTTACACGTTCCCACCTGCCATGCAGCACAAAGCTGCTTCGTTGCCTTTGCTTGCATGTGCGCGACGACACAAAAATGTCGCATTAATCGCTTGTCATCCCTCGATTCTGCATGTGCCGGCCGAACATCTTGATCATGTTAACCCGCGCTCGCTTCTGCGGATCCGTCTTTTTCCATCCGGCTTCTGAATGGTTGGATGCAAGTGCCATATTGGCAACTCCAAGCTGCTCATGCAGCCTTCTCCATCCATCACTACCGGCCAACAGCTTGACAACAGCCCTGCGGGCGTGGCAGCTAGTGCGCTGGGGAATGACGGAGCAAGTAAGGAAGCAACGAAGACGAAGTCAATACATTCTCCCTGAATCGCAGTGAAAGTCTGGGCAAAACAGACTCAACAGAAACCTCCTGGACGTAGTAAGCCAGAGTGGCCTGATTCTGTATACTGTAAACGCATTGTCCACTGGATGTCGGCTATGGGCCGTTTGCTCCTGTAGGCTGCTACAGCTCCCCCTCCACGAAGGCCACCAGGGGTGAGTTTAAACCGACCAGGGATCTCAAGGGCCTCGAGGAGCTTGTCCCATCTTCGCCTGTACATCCCAGCACTTCCAGGAAAGAGCAGCTCACTTCGAGGAAGATGTTGCCAAACTTGAGAGACAAAGTCGGCGACATCCAGGTCGATGGCAACATGCTGGACCTTAGCCCCCCGGCCGCAGGTCTTGGGCTCCCTAAAGACGAGGTAGAATCTCCGGTCGTTGAGAAGTAGGTTGGCCGGGGTCAAAAGCTCGGACCTTCTAGCCGATAAAACTTCTCCAATCCTGCAGCATCCCAGAAAGCAGAAAAGAGTGGCGCAAGCCCACCGAACCCAGCCCCAAGTGATAGCAAGGGCTATCATCGCCCAGGCGATCGGCTCAAAGCTGGGCCGCCACGAAGACAAGTTCCGCGTCGGCGCCGAACTAGCAACGAGGAGCCGCAGAGCATTAGGCGGAACCTGAAGGGCAGACCGTAAACTGGGTCGCCAGCACAAGTCCTCAGGCAAGCAAGCAGCTCCCACCGCAAAAGTCACTTGGCTCCCTCCTTCTCTTTGTCTTTGCCCTTCCCGGGACCCTTCGGGGGCCTGCGAGGTGGCTTCCCAGCATCGCCTCCTCCAGTGCCGGTTTCTCCTCCTCCGCCTGGCGGGATCTGTGTACCCCCACCGCCTCCCGAACCACTGCTGAGGTTCTTTTTCGCGGTGTGGAACGCATCGCGTTCGCGGATCCTCGACATGTAAAGGGAAACCCAGCGAGGGTCTATGATCCGGGTCTGTCGGGCTTCGAGGCTGTCCAGAACACGCGCATGTTGAAAAGAACCGAATGGAGGCTGGGTGTCCATGGCGAACTCTGCCGCCAATAACCAAGTGCCGGAATCGATTGCTGCTTGGTCGAGGGCCGCGATGGCCAATAAGGCGGTGGCTTTTGCCTGATCGACGTTGCCTGAGTTGATCAAGTCCACTATTGTCGCTAGCGTCCATCCCTGGCGAATGGGCCCTGCGTAGGACTGCAAGTGGGAGCGATGCTCCAGCCACCCCCTCACAGTGACGTGCCGTTCGCCTTGATGCGAACCCGTCTGGGCACCGACGAAGTCCTCGTGAATCAAGTTCACGATGGATGACGATATCAGCTCGGGGGAAGAGCGAAGGACGCCACGCAGCTTCAAGTAGGCTGCCGTTTTCGAGCGGCTTCCCCCCGTGGTTGCGCCCAGGGCCTCCCCAGCTCCAGAATCGGCCAGGTCCAAGAGATCCTCCAGGTCGTTCTTCCGGTCGCGTTCGCGGTGCAAAGCCTGCAGAACCTGCCCAATCTGCACCACGGCCAGCGACACTGGATCGCTCGCTCCGGCTGCTCCTGTACCCCCGGCTCCGGGGAGAGCTTCGTCCTCCGACTCGTCCAGAGGATCGAGACGCACCGCTTGCGCCTTCGCCTTCGGCCTGGCCTTGGCTTCGGAGAGCTTGCCGCTCTTGGTAGCCAGTCGCGACATCCGAACCAACTGCTCCTCTGGAACCCCAGCCTTTCGAGCAGCCTCCACCACGCTCGGATCGAGCCCAGCAAGTGCCGGACGCCTGCTTGGCGCCTCCGCCAAACTTCCGATCCCGCGTCCTTGAGATGCCCCGTCGGAGAGCGGCGCCCCGTCCAAGAGAGCCTGCATAGACTCCTGCATCTTGGCAAGACCAGCCTCGAGGCGAGTTAGCCGATGCTCCCAAGCCGAACCTTCGCCCCCGCTCTCCACATGAGGCGGTCCACCCTCCTCGGCCAGTGTCAGAAAGGCGAAGTGCTCCGAAGCTATGGCGGAAAGAGACGGGCCATAGGGGTCCAAGCGCTCCTGCGATCGAGAACCAAAGCCCAAGAAAGGCACATCGGGCTCCAGCTCCCCATCCACACCGAAGTCGATGCACTCCTCGAGCGGCTGGTGCAGCATTCCCAGCCAAACTTTCAGCCTGACTCCGGTCTGTGGCTCTCCTGGATCGTCCTCTGAAGCGGCCAACACCTCTGCGAGGACAGGACGGGTCAGAGCGGTTCTCGGAAGATATCGCCGCCCTGCGGTGCGGTGCCATGCCGTCTGCGGGACGGCCACGAGGAAAGAACTCTATCACCACTATGGAGCAAGACAAAGCTGGCCCCTCGGAAACTTGGATCCTAAGCTCACCGATGCGAGGATGCGACCCTTCCTGGGCGTGCTCATGCAGCCTGTCAATCGCCGGGGTCGCTTCCCGAATAAGTTCCTCAGACCCTGTCGGGCTGCCCATCCAGGCCCGCGGAAGGCCAAGAAAGGCCAGCTTCCTGGAGAGCGGTCAGCACCTCAGCTTGGGACGGGAGTCCCACAAAGATCGATTGCCCTTTATCCGGGCCGCGAATGCAGAGGGCCTTGGCTGCCCCAAAGGAAGAAAAGACAAGGGGCTCGCGAAATCGGCGTGTCGGGCTGCCCATCCAGGCCCGCGGAAGGCCAAGAAAGGCCAGCTTCCTGGAGAGCGGTCAGCACCTCAGCTTGGGACGGGAGTCCCACAAAGATCGATTGCCCTTTATCCGGGCCGCGAATGCAGAGGGCCTTGGCTGCCCCAAAGGAAGAAAAGACAAGGGGCTCGCGAAATCGGCGGCCCTCGAAGTCAGCCAAGACAATGTACAGCCGGGATTGCAAAGTGAGGGCGCTTCGGCACGAAGAGCGCAAATGCACCTCCCGGGCCACCTGAGTGCGGAAGATAGAAGTGGGACCGCCCGGCTGGGCCCGGCAGGAGCGATCGGGGAAGACCTCCTCGGAGGTCGAAGGCCAGGGAGAGATCAACTCCACCTCATCCCGGCCGTTCGGAAGCAGGACCGGGAGAGCCTCGCTCCTCCTGAACCAGGGAGAGAAGAGGACCCTGCGCCCCGGGAGAGATACAGTACCCTCCACCTGATCCGGGGGAGGACGAAGAAGGAGCCTTCTCCTCTTCGAGAGCCTGCAGGCGAGCCTCGAGCTGCCCAAGCAATTCGCGCACAGAATTGATCTCCCGCCCAAGAGACTGAATCTCAAGGGCCCTCGCACTCATTCAAGAACCCGACAAAGCTCAGAAGGCAACACCCGCGCGGACCGCCTTGTTCCGCGCAAGGCCGCGAGCCGGACCAGAAAGACCAAATCCAAAAGAGGCACAGCAGGAAGCCGACGCACATTCCGAGGGCAAAGGAGGGCCAGTGGGCCTGGAGAGTGGCGAAGGACGAAGGCCCCAAATCCAGAGGCGGCAAAGGGAAGGCCTCCGGTGGAATCAGGAGCCAAAACCACACCAGCCAAGCCGCCTGAAGCCCCTCCCGCGACTACCGGAAGTGGCCGCATACAATCCTCAGCAAAATGCTGCGATGCACAGGTCAACATGTTTGTCATGCTCCTTTGTCGCTCGTGATTAGCTCCGGGACGCTAGTCACATTCTAAGCACTAATCTCCCTCTCTGCGCTCTCGAGTCCGGGCATCCACTAGCGCAACTACATGCACAGGACACCCACTCAGCAGCACAATGCCACTTCACAGCAGCACAACTCCGCATCACTTAGGGTATCCAAAATCAAGGTTCAAACGACTCTATGGAAATCCACTGCACGGGAACACCACACAGCATGCTAGCTGAGGACGGAAGCGGAAGAATGGCAACAGCAGACATTTCGCAAAAATATAACCTAACATGATATGTACCATATCACAGTGGCATGGAGCGTCCAAAATTAGGACTATAATTAGGAGCTCCAACGACTGAAACTTGCTCTCCGGGATGGAGCTCAAATACACCAGCGAAGACCCCAAACAGAATGCATCGAATCAGACCGGTTCAAGTTGGAATGTGTTGGATCCCAATCTGGCTTCGCCAGCAGATTTTGCGAAGAAGAAGTAGGCATTGGGCGATATATTTCTGCGAAAGAAGAGTGGGTGGTGGGACTCAAGCATGTGGGAAGGTTTTTGGGAGGGTCCATGGAGCTTCGTTCAGAGGATCTTGCTGCAACACCATGCACGGAAAACATGCACATTTCTCCCGCAACTGCCACATTGTTGCCCCTTTGCCCTTTGCAAAACAGGATACCTGGCCTCTGCTGCAAACGTTCGCGGACGAAGTGCAAAAGAGCTTGGTGTTCGCTTCGGTTGGCTGTCGGACGGGAAGAAAACGAGAACTTTGCCGTGCATGTTTGGCAAGAAAGGTAGGAAGGGATTTGTCGGCTTACAAGGCAAACAAAAAGCTCTCTTAACACGGAACCATTCACGTTTTCTCTGCTGACCGAACGAAGAGCACTGTCCACAGGATTTTGTTGCCGCAGGAACCGCACAAAGAAAAAACACAACTTTTCCACAATTTTCATAACATCACCGTTTTGCAAAACAGGATTCCTTGCCTCCGCTGTAGACATTGGAGGAAGAAGCACAACAGAGGGTGCTATATGGATCGGTCGGCTGTCGCACGGGAAAAAAAAGTGTGAACTTTGCCGCGCAATTCTGGCGAAAAGAAGCGCGCACAGGGGTGCATCGGCTTACAACACAAAACAAAAATCTCTCTTTACACGGAACCATTCACGACTTTTTCCGCAGACCGAACGAAGATCATAGAATCTTGCTACCGCAGAAACCACGCACGGAAAAAACACGCAACATTGCCGTTTTGCGAGACAGGATATGTGGCCTCTGCTGTAGACGCTGTGGAAGAAGCACGAAACAGGTTGGTATACAGATCGGTTGGCTGCCACACGGGAAAAGGTAGGAACTTTGCCGCGCGAACTTGGCAAAAAGAAACGCAAAGGGGTTTGTCGGCTTACATCGCAAACAAAAATCTTTCTTTACACGAAACCGTTGACGATTTTGTCCGCCGACAAAACGAAGAACGTCGTCCACAGGATCTTGCTGCCGCAGAAACCACGCACGGAAGAACACACAACCTTCCCGCAACTGTTACAACATTGCTGCCTTGCAAGACAGGATACCGGATACGTGGCCTCTGCTGTAGACGTTTGTGGAAGAAGCACAAAAGAGGTTGGTTTACGGATCGGTTGGCTGTCGCACGGGAAAAAAAAGTGTGAACTTTGCCGCGCAATTCTGGCGAAAAGAAGCGCGCACAGGGGTGCATCGGCCTACAACACAAAACAAAAATCTCTCTTTACACGGAACCATTCACGACTTTTTCCGCAGACCGAACGAAGATCATAGAATCTTGCTACCGCAGAAACCACGCACGGAAAAAAACACGCAACATTGCCGTTTTGCGAGACAGGATATGTGGCCTCTGCTGTAGACGTCTGTGGAAGAAGCACGAAAGAGGTTGGTATACAGATCGGTTGGCTGCCACACGGGAAAAGGTAGGAACTTTGCCGCGCGAACTTGGGAAAAAGAAACGCAAAGGGGTTTGTCGGCTTACATCGCAAACAAAAATCTTTCTTTACACGAAACCGTTGACGATTTTTTCCGCCGACAAAACGAAGAACGTCGTCCACAGGATCTTGCTGCCGCAGAAACCACGCACGGAGAAACACACAAGTTCCCCTTTACACGGAACCATTGACGATTTGTTCCGCAGACAGAACGAAGAACGTCGTCCACGGGATCTTGCTGCCGCAGAAACCACGCACGGAAGAACACACAACCTTCCCGCAACTGTTACAACATTGCTGCCTTGCAAGACATGATACCGGATACCTGGCCTCTGCTGTAGACGTTTGTGGAAGAAGCACAAAAGAGGTTGGTTTACGGATCGGTTGGCTGCCGCACGGGGAAAAGTGGGAACTTTGCCGCGCAAACTTGGCGAAAAGAAGAGCGCACAGGGGTGTGTCGGCTTACAAGGCAAAATAAATATCGTTCTTTACACGGAACCACTGACGAATTTTTCCACAGACCGAACGAAGAATTTCGTCCACAGGATCTTACTTCCGCAGAAACCACGCACGGAGAACACACACACACATAACTTTCCCGCAACTGAGTTAATCCGACTCAACAGCAGCACAACGATATTGGGGTAGGATCGCCGGGCAAGGTAAGGAAACCCAAAAGGGAAGCCCAACCCGAAGAGGAACACAAGCTGCAAGCGTACCTCTTTTCTCATTACTTGAGCCAAAGATCATGTCATTGGCACATTAAGCTACACAGTCAGACATGTTACCTATACAAGGACAGGGAACGTCGTATTCGATCAACTAACTGTTACAACATTGCTGCTTTGCAAAACAGGATACCTGACTTCTGCTGTAGATGATTGCGGAAGAAGCACGAAGCAGGTTGGTATACGGATCGGTCGGCTGTCGCACGGGAAAGACGGGCAACTTTGCCGCGCAAACAGGGCAAAAAGAAAAGCGAAGGAGTCGGCTTACACCGCAAACAGATATTTTCCTTACACGGAACCATTGACAATTTTGCCGCAAACCGAACGAAGAACGTCGTCCACAGGATCTTGCTGCAGCAGAAACCACGCACGGAAAAACACACAACTGTTACAGAAAGGAAACATTAAGGGAATCCAGCGGGAGCTCAGGCCCTCTGCTGCGGCCCGCCCGTCCAATCCAGGAGCCCAGAAAGGAAACAGGAACTTTGCCGCGGCCCACCCAATCCAGGAGTCCAGAACGGAAACATGAAGGGAGGTAAACGGGATTGCCGCGGCCCAAGGAAACATGGAGGGAGCCCAACGGGAGTCCAGGTCCAACCCAGCAGCCCAGAAAGGAAACATGAAGGGAGCCCAATGGGAGCCCAGGTCCTTTGCAGCAGCCCACCCGTCCAAACTTTCCAAACCAGCCCAATGATAGCCCAGGTTCTTTGGCGCGGCCCACCCGTCCAACCCAGCCGAAAAAAGAATTGAAGGGAACTGAATGGTAGCCCAGGTCTTTCGCCGCGGCCCACCCATCCAACCCAGGAGCCCAGGAAGGAAACATGAAGGGAACCCAGTGCTAACCCAGGTTCTTTGCCGCGGCCCACCCGTCCAACCCAGGAACCCAGGAAGGAAACATGAAGGGAACTGAATGGTAGCCCAGGTCCTTCGCCGTGGCCCACGCGTCCAACCCAGAAGCCCAAAAAGGAAACATGAAGGGAGCCCAACGAGAGTCCAACCCAGGAGCCCAGAAAGGAAATATGAAAAGCCCAATGGAGTTCAGGTCCTTTGCCGCGGCCCACCCGTCCAACCTCGCCCAGAAAGGAAACATGAAGGGAATTGAATGGGAGCCCAGAAGGGAAACATAAATGGAGCCCAATAAAGCCCAGGTCCTTTGCCGCGGCCCAACCGTCCAACCCAGGAGCCCAGAAAGGAAACATGAAGGGAACCCAATGATAGCCTAGGTTCTTTGCCGCGGCCCACCCGTCTTTGTCCCTGCCGTGCATGCGCTATGACACCATGAACACTAAGCCATGACTCTGGCACAGTCTGTGTCTATCGGTGCTTGACATCTGCAGCAGGCCGAGCCCAAAGCCGCAGGCGTGGGCTTCGCATGACACGGGACGCTCTGTGACTCTACATTTCTTGGCTACTGACTTGCTTGCCGTGTTCTCAGGCAAGGCTATCGCAGCACGGAGCCGGGAGGACTGCAACCGTTGCAACAGCGGACGTGCGATTTCGCGAGTCGACTTTGTGGATGCAAGGACCAGCCTGCACCAGCAGTGACGGGTCCTTAGATCAAAAGCAGAAAGCACCGTGAGTACTGAAAGCCACACCAAGTTTGCCAGACATTCGGCTGTGGAAAGCAGCAGTGTGCCCTCTGTGATGCAGGCCTACCGTCGCTTACTGCATTTGCCGCATTGATTCTAAGGGAGCTTTCCGCGCTTCACATGCAGACTGCAAAGGTGAAAGCTGCAGAGGAACCGCATGCTCGTATGGTCGTGGTGTAGTGAGGAGTGAAGTCATCGGACCAGCATACAATTTGGGCATCCTGTGACAACTCTGCGACAGCTCAGATCGCTGCCATGCAGGCACCGGAACAGCAGACAGCTCATTGCAGCCGCGAAGCATCGCGAATCTAACCGAAGGAATCCCAAAAGCACCCGACATCATCCCACATCTCTCTGTGACGCCGCACCGCTTTTGAGTCTCTTGTAGACTGG